TGGATTTTCTACATAAACATGCTGCCTGTAAATACTAACAGTTTTATTTCTTTTTTCCCCTATTCTTAGATGTTTTGTTTATATTTTTTCTTGTCTTATTGCACTAGCTAGAATCTCCAGTAAAATATTACATTGAAGTTGTGCTAGCAGATATCCTTTTGTTGTTCCTGAGCTTAAGGGGAATATTTCTAATGCTTCAGCACTGAGTATTCGTATTTTCTCTAGTTTTCTGTAAATATCCTTTATCAGGTTAAGGAAGTTTCTTTCCAATGTTTATTTGCTAAAATTTTACCATGAATTTGTTAGCCTGCATATTGAAATGTTCATATAATTTTCCCTTCTTTATTTCGATGTGTTAATGTGGTGAATCTCAAATGTTAAACTAACCTGAATTAAATCCTGTTTGATTCTGATAGAGTATCCTTTTTATGTATTGAATTAGATCAACTGTTTAAGGCCTGGGGTATTTATATTTATGAGGGATATAAGTCTGTGATGTTTTTCTATTAATGACCTCATCAGATTTTGGTATCAAAGTTATGTTCTTTCCATAGAATAAATTGATAAGTCCTTCTTTTTCTCTTCTTTGGAAGATTTTTTGAATAATTGTTACTTTCTCTTCCTTAGGTGTTTGGGAAAATTAATCAATGAAGACATCCACACCTGGAATTCTCTATGTCAGTAAGTTTTTAATGATCAAACAATGTCTTTAGTATACATACGGTAACCCATATTTTCTACTTAACCCTTGTTTCAGATTTGATATGTTTTCTTTTTAAAGGAATTTGCCTATTTCATCTAAATTTTGAATATATTAGCATAAAGCTTTTGCTTTTTCATTCCTTTGTGATAATAATTTTATTATTTTTTCCTCTTATATATGTTGGCTTTATTTTGCTGTTCTGTTTTTAGCTTCTTAAACTAGATACTTAAAGCATTGACTTTTCAGCTATTCTTCTTTTCTAATTTACAAATTTAAAGTTATAAAGTTTTAAATAGGTTTTTACATCCCACAAATATTTCAATACTGTATTTACCTTATAATATTCAAAAAATTTTAAAAATATTTTCTAGCTTCCATTGTAATTTATTCTTTGATCCATAGATTGTATATTTAATTTCCAATTGTTTAGATTTTTTTTCATTTTTGTTGTTGATTTCTAGCTTTATTCAACTGTAAGTAGCAAACATATGCCATATGATTTAGTATTTTGATACTTGTTGAGATTTGCTTATTGCCTAGTCTATGGTCACCTTTGTTAAATGTTCCATGTGAACTTGAAAAAATGTATAATATTGTGCAGTTATTTGGTGTAATGTCTTTATATTATGCTAAGTTTTGTCAATCATGTTATTCAACTTTTCTATATCTCTACTCTATATTCTTTTCCTCTTGTTCTATTAATTATTTAAATAAATATGCTAAAGTTCCCAACTATAATTGTCAGTTTGCACATTACTTTTTCTTTTATAAATTATAGTTTTATGGTTTTTAGAGCTATGTCAGTGAGTACATGCATATTTAGAATTATTACATCTTTCTGTTGGATTAACCCCTTTACCTTTATAAAATATTCCTATTTATTTTTATGTATCTTAAATTTAACTTTGACATTAGTTTAGCTCCACTAGCTTATTATCCATTAAGGTACACAGTGTATCCCTTTTCCATTAAAAAAAGAAACAGTAAAACATCATGTTCTCTTATATTTTAGGTTTATTTATTATAATCCAGTGACAGATTCATGGTTTAAGTGGTATACTTAGTCTATATACTTTTCTGTGGTAAGAAAATTAAATATGAGAACTAATCACCAAATTTTTAAGTGTAAAACACAGTATTGTTAATTATAGGCCCAAAGTTGCGCAGAAAAACTCTATAACTTGTTGATTTTAGTCCATTTGCTTTTTTAAGTTTATTTATTTATTTATTTATTTATTTATTTATTTATTTATTTATTTTTAGCAGCACTGGGTCTTTCTTCAGCTTCCCTGGTAGCTCAGTTGGTAAAGAATCTGCCTACAATGCAGGAGACCCTGGTTTGATTCCTGGGTCAGGAAGATCCCCTGGAGAAGGGACAGGTTACCCACTCCAGTATTCTTGGGTTTCCCTGGTGGCTCAGAGGGTAAAGAATCCACTGCATTGTTGCTGCTTGCGAGCATTTCTCTAGCTGTGGTGAGCTGGAGCTACTCTTGTTGGGCATGAGCTTCTCACTGCAGTAGCTTCTCATTACAGAGCACAGGATCTAGGTTCACAGGCTTCAGTAGTTATGGCAAACAAACTCAGTAGTTGAGGCTCGCAGGCTTAGTTGTTCTGCAGCATGTGGAAACTTTGATCCCAGACCAGGGATCAAACCTGCGTCTCCTGCTTTGGCAGACAAATTCTTACTCAATGCACAGCAGGGAAGCCCCCAGACCATTTGCTTTTAATGTAACTGCTTTATGTTTGGATTTACATCTATCATTTTAGCTTTATTATTTGCCCCATGTTTTTGTTCATTTATCCTTTATTGCTTTCCATTAATCAAACATTTTAATTACAGTTCCTTCTCTATTATTTTATTTATACACTTTTCATTATTCTTTAGTGGTTATGTTTTAATTTATAGAGGTATATAACAAATTAGTATCTTTACAACTCCCAGAGAATCAAGCTTCTTATAACACCTTAACTGCAATTATTTCACAAATCTTTATTACCACTATAAATTTTGTGTTTAAATTTATAATTTTTATTTTAAACTCACCAGATTATCATGTGTAAATACTTAATATTCATGTTCTGCACCCAAATATGTGCTCTCTTATGCTCTTTATTTTACCTTAAGTATGTATTATCTTAGGTCATTTCCTTCTACCTGAAGAATTCTTTTTTTATTTTAACTAAGAATTCTTACTTGCATTTGTTTTAGTACTTTATGCTAGCCATACAACTTTCACAATTTTTTTTATTTTAATATAAAAACAATGTTTCTATTTCACACTCACTTTTGAAAAATATTTGTCCTGTGATAAAAATCTTAAATTGTCAGGGTTTTTTTTTTTTCTTTTTAGAACTAAATATTCCTTCCATTCTCTTCTGGCTATGTCATTAATTTTCCCCTGTGTTTCAAAATATAGGTTCAGATCACCTATGTAACAAAACTGTATGCACACAATCATTTATTACACTAAAATGTACTCTTTGAAATGAATAAAAATTATCAGGATTTTAACTATATTAAAGCCCTAATAATTTGAGACTGAGGCCACTTTTATACAAGGCAGTGTGTGCTAAGTCACTTTGGTAGTGTCCAACTCTTTGTGACCCTATGGGCCATAGCTTGCAAGGCTCCTCTATCCATGGAATTCTCCAGGCAAAAATACTGGCAAAAATCTTCCCAACCCAGAGATCAAACCCACATCTCTTTCATGTCTTGAATTGGCAGGCAGATTCTTTACCATCTGGGAAGGCCATATACAAGGTAGACATTTATGATATTTGACTCTTTTCCCATTTCTTATTGTTCCTTGATTGCCTTTTCTGGTGTTTTCCAAAATGAGATGCACATGCAAGGTAATCAGTTGGAATGTGTGAACAGGGTATTACAGCTTCAATTTATGTATTTTATTTCATCTCTTAAAATTTTCTATCTTAATGCATAATTTATAAGGTATATTATTACAGTAGCATTTGAACTATCCACACATCATCTATATTGAATCATGCTCAAAAGAAAGTTTGAAAAGGATTACTTTAGACTGCAGCAAAGAAGTCAAAATCAATACAGGTGCAAAGTATTTTGCCCAGAATGTGAAGGTAGTGATCCAGCCAGCATTTCGAACTTTCAAACTATAAAATTTCCAGGATCCCAGGCCATTTAACCTTCTAGCTATGCTTTAGAATAAATGTGGTTTCAATACAGATGAATAGACCACTGATCTACTTTTTTTTTTTTTGAAAAAGCAAACATCACAGGTTTGACTATTTCAGAAATCTATGAAGTTTTCTTTCTCAAGACCATTAATTCATAAATAGAACTGAGTGTGATTCATAACTAGAACTGAGTGTCCAAATAACCTGTGAGAGTTTTTAAATAGACTTGATCAAGCCACATCTAGAGACTCTGGGTTGCAAAGGGTTTGACACAACCGAAGTGACTTAGCACACAGAAGTACAATCTCAGAATTAGCAATGGTTCCATTCTACTGTTCCTGCTAATTAATAAGGAAGCAATACTTAAATAAAATACAATTTTAAAAAGATAAAAATTTTGAAATTAAAAACAAATTATACCATGTGTATCTTCGATAGACAACACAATCATTACAAAATTAAATGAGTACTTTCCAAATGGAAACTACCATGGACCAATTTTCCCATGTGTGGGAGCAACTCAAAATACAGATCAACACTTATATGCTCCCCTCTCACACATCATTAGTGGTTTAATTTAATTTAAGTACTAAGAATATTAAAAAGTGGTAGGTTGTCTTCAAAATTTATGTAGTGAATTTAGAAGATATATGGTTCATACTGATTTAGATGTTTTCAGTAGAAAATTGCAGGGGAACTAATTCTATTTATTGTCCTATATGATTAAATAAGATATTTTACATGTTATAGAATTTTTCAAATTAGTGCATTTTTTTTACTAAGTTAAATTTGTCATTAGTAAGTTTATTTAGATATGCACATAAGATAATATTTCCTTCTCTTTACCAAGTTTTTAAAATTAATTTATTTACTTTAATTGAAGTGTGTTTATTTCAGTTTTGATCTATAGTCTATTTTTATTCAATTTTCTGATGAGAAATACAGTCATATACATCTATAACTTGATTTAGAGGAAGGGAATTGTGGATTAGAGGTAGACAATCTTAGATAATGGAATTCAGAGAACACATCAGATTTCTGACAGCATTACTATTAATGGCATCTTAGTAATAATAGGCATTATTATTATTATTATTATTAGACATAGTACTAATTCAATTAAAACATTTTCTTTTTTAAACAGGCAAGAAATAAACATCAAAACATGTGATAATGCCATACCAAGTAAGAATTAAAATTATATTTGAAAATAATTTTAGGGAAAATGACTAGTGTCTTCCATTCAATGTGATAAACCATAAAAAAACATTGAGTTTTTCTTAAAATCTATATTGGTATGTGTGTGTGTGTGTTTAAAATATTCCTGTAGTCAGAAAGAAGAAAGTTGACAGTTCATGTGTTGAACAGGTAAAACTTTAGGAAATATCTTTTTTTTTTTTCCATTTTTTTTAATTAGTTGGAGGCTAATTACTTTACAACATTGCAGTGGTTTTTGTCATACATTGAAATGAATTAGCCATGGATTTACATGTATTCCCCGTCCCGGTCCCCCCTCCCACCTCTCTCTCCACCCGATCCCTCTGGGTCTTCCCAGTGCACCAGCCCCGAGCACTTGTCTCATGCATCCAACCTGGGCTGGTGATCTGTTTCACCCTAGATAATATACATGTTTCGATGCTGTTCTCTTGAAACATCCCACCCTGGCCTTCTCCCACAGAGTCCACAAGTCTGTTCTATACATCTGAGTCTCTTTTTCTGTTTTGCATATAGGGTTATCGTTACCATCTTTCTAAATTCTATATACATGTGTTAGTATACTGTAATGGTCTTTATCTTTCTGGCTTACTTCGCTCTGTATATTGGGCTCCAGTTTCATCCATCTCATTAGAACTGATTCAAATGAATTCTTTTTAATGGCTGAGTAATATTCCATGGTGTATATGTACCACAACTTCCTCATCCATTCATCTGCTGATGGGCATCTAGGTTGCTTCCATATCCTGGCTATTATAAACAGTGCTGTGATGAACATTGGAGTGCACGTGTCTCTTTCAGATCTAGTTTCCTCGGTGTGTATGCCCAGAAGTGGGATTGCTGGGTCATATGGCAGTTCTATTTCCAGTTTTTAAAGAAATCTCCACACTGTTTATCCATGGCTGATTCATGTCAATGTATGACAAAAACCACTACAATATTGTAAAGTAATTAGCCTCCAACTAATAAAAAAAAATTAAAAAAAAAAAAAAAGAGCATGGACTCTGGAGCCAAACTATCTGTGCTTGAATCTTAACTCTTCTGCTAAATTTGTGATTTGGGGGCAAGTAATTTAACCTCTCTAGGTGCTTTATTTTTCTACATCTGTAAAACAGAGTCAATCATGAATTATATTAACTAATCAAAGTGTTGCAATGACTAAGAGTTGATATATAGAAAGTGCTTAAAACACAGTCCAGCATATAGCAAGTGATATATATATGTTAGCAGTTGCAGCTATCTTACTACTACTATTACTACTACTTTTACGTAGTAGCTTTTACATAACAGCTCTTTAAATATTTGAGTATAATGATCACATCTCTTGTTAATCTCCAGAAGAACTATCTAAACTATCCCACTTTTCTTCTTTTGATAGCTTCCAGATAGCTTGATCCTCCTGATCACTCTATTCTGGGTGCCCTCAAATGTGTGCATGCCCCTTCTTTAAATAAGAGTGTCAGAACTGAATGTAGCATTTGTGTCTGTGGCCCTAATTTTTATGGCTTGGGATGTCATTGAGGACAGAGGAGGAGTAACATAAACACTTAATCAATTGAGACTTTTAACTGATCCTCTGTTAATAGCTATTACGGGGACTATAGAAGAAGTCATATGCTCTGCAATCTGAACAAAATGACATGAAGGTAGTGGAGATGATGGAGATGTTTGGAAGGAAACAGTTTCTTTATTTTTCATTCCTATTGTTTGGTTGTATTACTGTGACTATTATTTTCATTATACTTTAAATTGGAGGATAACTGCTTTACAATGTTTTGTTAGTTTCTGCTGCACATCAACATGAATCAGCTATAAATATTCATATATCCCCTCCTTATTGAGCCTCCCTTCCACTCCCCAATCCCACCCCTTCTGTCATCACAGAGCACTGAGCTGAGCTCCCTGTGTTATACAGGAGCTTCCCATTACCTATCTATGTTACACATGGTAGTGCATATATTGGTTTAATCTAGAAAGTAAAATTACAAATGTCATTTTAAACTTAATTTGGTTCTAAATGGAATAATCGATTTTTATTTTCCCTTAACTGGCATGCAAATAAACTACAAACTCTAGGTGGGGGTACTGTATTTTGAGTTATAATTTAGTTCAAATTAAACTGTATTCCTTGCTCAGGAATATTTCAGGACTGATGAAAGTCTGGCTATTAGCTGCAAAATTGTTTCTTATCCTCTCTCAGTCATTGAATCAAGCAGAAAATTATGGAATCAACAAAATTTCACTACAGCATTTCCCAAACCATCCCAGCCAGGTGGAAAAAAGATATTAAGACCTTCAGAAATACAAATCACAGTTCCTGTGAGTATTGACAAGATCATTTTTAATTAAATATAATAGGTTACAATACATACATAAAAATAAAATACATAATTTGAATTTTGATACCTTCAGGAGGCAAATATTTTAGGTGTATAATTCCCTGTATAGCAGATTGTCCCCAGCTGTTTCTGATTGAACTTATATGTGTTTCTCCATTTCAAAGGCATTTTAAAGCTCATAGGCTTGGTAAGCTGGAGAATCTAATACTGAAACTGGTGGGATCTCTCAGGAAATGTTTACCAGCTGCAAAAACCTGTAAAATTTGAGTCTTAGAATAGGAGCCAATCTTGAGGTTTCAGGGCCTTTACATTTTCTTTAATCTAGAATTCAAATACCAGATACTTGGAGATTCAAGTTTTATATTTTTTTTTATAAAGTGTAGTTATCCTTTCAACTAACCAAAAGAAAAGTTAGCTTACAGAGGTCACCCATAGTGATAGCAAAATATGTTTTAAAAGCATCTCCCAAAGCAGAGCTATAGTCAATGCATTTATTCAAGGGCCATTTATTTACATCTATAGAGATCCAAGTTTCATGCTTCTCTTCATGGTCTTCCTTTCATTCCATATAACAATGGAAGAAATATAAGAAATAAATGTAAAATTAGTCTATGTGGTCACTATGGCAACCAGCCTTGACAAATGTTTGGACAGAAGTAAAACAAAAATTATAATAATATGCTACTGCTACACTAATTAATGCAGATAAGACACTTGTTTTATTTTATGTATTTGTTTTCAGCAGTTCTTCACAGCAGAGATCTTAGGCTTTCAATTTGGTAAGAAAATCTTGAAAGTAGATGTAGAAATCAGGCTAACCCTGAAGCCTACAGAATTGTAAACTATCATAAGAACTATCACGACAAACTTCAAGAGTATCAGCTTATTTTTTTATCTATTTTGGGGCAGAAAGGTATGCGAAATGGTTCAAAATATCTGTCCCATGTAGGAGTTCTAAATGAATTTATTTTCTATTGTGAGGCCAGGTCCTGAAATGTCATGAATCATTGTCGACCCCTTCTTATCCTAATATGAATCACTGAGGATATTCTGAGGTTCCTCTTAAATTAATTTTATTTCCAAAGTGGAGTTTTCTCACATACACATACAAACACACACAGAATGTTGAAAAAGAAACAAGACACAATCTAAATAGATGGTCATCGAAAAGCTAGACTATTTGTTTCAATATGAAAAAGACATAACTCATTAAAAAACTTATCATTATTCAAACCATTTTTTTCAGAGACATGACAAAAGAAATGTAGATGAACTTCAGAAGCCAGCTCATATATGGATAAGGAAGTCTTTAAGGAAAAAATTTCAAAGTATATCTATTAATTTAACCATCAGGAGACAGGCCTCATTCAGACATATAACCCATTCTGAAAAGGAAGAATCTAAAAAGTGCAAAGATGACAAAAAAGGAACAACTTTGAAGAAAATTTCCAATAAAGACACAGGCCCACATGAAATAGATGAGAAACCTAAAGGAGGAAATAAAGCAGATAAAACTCCATCAAAATCATCACATGAAAGTCAACTATCTAAGAAGTTAAAGTCCAAATCAGAAGCAAACCCAGAATCCAAAGATTCTATACCAGTTTCAATAAAGCATCAAAAAAAAGATAAGAGATTTTCAAAAGATTCCAAGGAGATGGAATTTGAATCCATAAGTACAAAAAAGTACTCTAAGAGCTCAAAGAATAATTCTGGTGCCATATCAGAGACTTTCTCAAAATATAGTTCAATTGTGGGTTTAATGATGCATTTAGGGGAGTCAGATGCTGAATGCATGAAATTTGCTATGTGGTTAAAGAATAATTCACAGAATAATTCGAAGAAGCCCACAAAGAAGGATGCAAAAAAAGATGCAAAGGGGAAGGGCTCTGATGCTGAATCTGTAGATTCAAAAGATGCAACGAAAGATGCAAAGAAAGGTAAGAAGGGTGCAGCGAAAGGCACCAAGAAGGATGCAGAGTCTACTGATGCAGAATCTGGAGACTCAAAAGATGCAAAGAAAGGCAAGAAAGAGTCAAAGAAAGATGACAAGAAAAAGGATGCCAAGAAGGATGCTGCATCTGATGCAGAATCTGGAGACTCAAAGGATGCAAAGAAAGATTCGAAAAAGGGCAAGAAAGATGATAAGAAAAAGGATGCCAAGAAAGATGCAGAATCTACTGATGCAGAATCTGGAGACTCAAAGGATGCAAAGAAAGATTCGAAAAAGGGCAAGAAAAATGACAAGAAAAAGGATGCCAAGAAGGATGCTGTGTCTACTGATGCTGATTCTGAATCTGAATGGGATGCAAAAAAGGGTGGGAAAGATTCAAAGAAAGATAAGAAAGATTTAAAGAAAGATGACAAAAAGAAGTCTGCAATGAAATCTGAAGAGTCTACTGAAACTGAGTCTGATTGGGAGTCAAAGAAGGTTAAACGAGATTCAAAGAAAGACTCCAAAAAGAGTGCAAAGAAGGACACAGAGTCTAGTGATGCTGAATCTGATGTGTCTTCCAAAAGAAACCTAAAGAAGACTGAAATGTTCAAAAGTTCAGATGCTGAATCTGAAGAGTCTCTATTTAAACCTGGGCCTAAAAAGAGAGTTGATGAATCAGATGCCACATCTACAGATTCAAAGAAGGATGCAGTGGAACTAAAAAGAGGAGTCAAAATGCCATCCCGCAGGACTACATTCAAAGAAAAAGGAAAAAAAATAGGTGCAGGTAGAGTTCCTCCATCAAGAAAAAGACCACCACTACCTCCTTGTGAGCCTTTACTGCCATCACCTAGAGTCAAACGTCTCTGTTGGTGCCAGATGTCTCCTCCACCTCCAAAGCCAAGATACGCTTCTCTGGTATGTTTGTTCCTGTTTTATTTTTTAGAGAAAATTTGATTAAAAATGAAAGATATATTTTAAATTTTGAATTCATATTTTCTCTGAAGATTAGTTCTCTTTTACTGGAATATTGACAAGTTTGAGACTCACAGATGAGAAAAGATAGAGTACTTCCATAGGACCCAAAAGGGATGCAAAACAAATGTCAAAAAGTTAAGAATAGTATTTAGACTGGAGCAGAGAGAACTGGCTTGGGATTTAAGAAACTATAATTATTTGCAAAAAGGATCATATTACAGATGTGGTTAACTGTCCTATACTTATGAAAGAACAAAAAGGAAAATAGCTAAAATTTCTAAGGGGCATATTTTAGTAGGATATAAAGACATTTCCTAGGAAGTTGATGAATATGGTAAAATCTCAACCAAATTCAGATACAGCAAGATAGAAACATAACATACTAGGATTCAGATATGAAAAAAAAGCATATTTAACTATTTAATTTTTTAACAGTATCTTTATGAGTTGTTGCTAGTACTGATAATCAAGGGTGGTAAACAGTATCTTCAAGGTTGATCCAATCTCTTTGGATCTGTAAATTTAAAGTTTTCTATTTTTCTCCTACAGAGGATCTCCCTTTCAATCCCCCTTCCTTTAAAACATGGCTATAAAGGGAAGCTTAGTTAAACATTTCACTTTGGATGGAAGGTCTGCTCTTCCCATTCTTGTCCTCCCTTGTTGGCTCTCTGATTTTTGGTTGAGGTGTGATTCATTTGCATTGTTTCTGGGCATCAGTCTGTGTTTCCTCTGCTTTTCCACAGTGTTAATTGACTATTCTCAGCATTATAGGTCTCATGCTGTCTGTCCTGCTAAATTCAGAACATCTGTAGATATGTCTGGGTCTTGACCTTATATTTAATTAATTTTCCCCCACCCTTTCTCCTCTTCCTCTCTGTCCCCCTATTCTTGTTCTTATATCTCAAAGGGCTTCCGTTTCCTCTTCTGAATGGTGGGAATCTCACTTTACCTCGTATTCCAAGTTTTTTTTTTTCTATCCTTGGTTTATTTATAATAAAACCCTATCTATTGACTTGCATTTGTTCTTCATATATTTTTCATTTGTGGGAGAGATGAATAAATCCCTATTATCTCTTTCAAAAAGGCTGATTTTAAGTCCATTTTGCTCCTGGCAGACTCAAAATGTCAGCTTTGTGACAAAGCTGATTAATGACCCCATTGTTTAGGGCTCAGTCTAAGTCAACGGGGCAGATAACCAGTAAAGCAACAAAATTTGTAAGGAATGAAAATATATTGGTGTATAATTTTAAGGTAATTGAGAAAAAGAGACCCTAGAAAAGTTGAACTCTTTTCCAAAAGCAGTTTTTATGAAAAATATGTAAAATACAAGAAAGTAATACTACAAAATCCTTGAATCTGAGGATTAATTTTAATTGTTAAAAGAAAAAAAGTTCAGGATATGTTCTGGCCTTGCATATATTCATACCATCACTGTAATAAGCTTAAATTTGTATAGCTACCATGTAATCAGGCTCTTCCATCCCTACCACTTTACTAAAAGTGCTCTTTTCAGGATTACCAAATACCTTCTTGTAGTCACACATACTGAGCTCTCTTCTCTCTTCGTGTTATTCTAAAATCCAGCAGCATTTAAACCAACCTCTTCTTCTTTTAAAAAATACTTATTTCATGTCAATGTATGACAAAAACCACTACAATATTGTAAGGTAATTAGCCTCTAACTAATAAAAATAAATTTAAAAAAATAAAAAAATGCTTACTTTACTTGAGTCTATCCCATCCTGTTCTTTCTACTTACTGGTAGCTTTTCAACCCCTTTATTATATCTTACACTTCCTCACTTTTAACGTTAGAATGATCTAAGACTTGATCCTGGACCTTCTCTCTAAAATTCTCCCTTGGTGAGTTCATCCAATTCAATAGTTTTAAATGTGATTTATGTATTGATAACTACAAAAGTAATATAGCCAACTTTGGTCTTTCCAATGAGTTCCAAATTCTAAACACCTACTTGGAAGTTTAGGTGTAGTCTACTGGACATCTCAAATTTAACATATATGAATAACACTCTTAACCCATCTCAAAACCTAGTCCTTCCCAATATTCTCCATCTTAGTAAATGGCACTGCCATCCACCCATTTAATCTTTTAAAATCTTGATATCATCTATGATTCTGCTCTTTTCCTCATCCCCCATATGTGATCATTCACTAAAACTTGTGTACCTTACGTCCAAAATATATCCTGAATCAGTCCACTTCTTCCATCTCAATTACTACTACCTAAATAGTCCCAATATTCATCATAATCTTTGCTGAAGTACTGCAAGAGTCTTGCTGCCTCTACTGTCCACTGCTTAAAACACTAATGGTTTCCCATTACATTCATGATAAACTCAGACTTCTTACCCTGGCTTTCAATGTTTACATTATCCAGCCTCTATCTGTTTTCTACCCTCATCTTGAACCTGTTTCCCATTTTATTTTTTGACCTACCCAAACTAAGGTATTTTTGCTTCTCATATACATTAAGATTGCTCTCTTGCCAAGCTTTTGCATATACTGTTCCCTCTGCTTGGAATTCTTCTCCACAGTTTTTGCATGACTAGTCTTTCTCATCATTTGTTTTTTCAACTTAAATATTATCTTTTTGGAGAAGCCTTCCCTGATTTACTATATCTTATGTTATCCCCTCCCACAACTGTCCAGTTACTCTTCTAACCCAGAATCCTAATTTATTTTTCTTCATAGAATATTTCTATTGTTATTGTTGCTGTTGTTCAGTTGCTACATCATGTCTGACTTTTTTCCAACCCTATAGGGCTACAGTCCACCAAATTCCTCTGTCCATTGGACTTCCCAGGCAAGAATACTGGAGTGGGGTGCCATTTCCTTTTCCAAGGGGTCTTCTCCACCCAGAGATCAAGCCCACACTTGCATCAGCAGGTGGATTCTTTACCACTGAGCCACCAGGGAAACCCCTTCATAGAATTTATCTTAATATAAAATGTTATGTTTATTCATTTGTTTGCTAGTTACATTAACCATTAAAATTTAGGCTCCCTGCAACAGTGAACCTGATCTTTTTTTTTTTTTTTTCCTTCATTTCTGTATCCACAGTTCAAAAAGTGTCACCTGGCCTATATTTGACTGGTTAAGAATTTGATATCTCTAAAAGAGCTGCAGATCATGTCATATCTGACATCCATTTTCCTAAGTATTTCTTTTCTAGCAATATTAGACTAAAATGTACAAATAAGACATTTTAGAAGGAGAGAAGTCACAATAGTGCAAGTTACATTCTAAATTGACATCTGAATAGAAAATATGTGTAACCTCACTTTTGTGTGGGAAATTAATGATTAGATAGTGTTAATGTATCTTGTCTTTTTTTGTATGAGCTTGAAAAGCCATGTCCTTACTCCTCCCACCAGAGTCCTTCTGATTCTAATAGCAGCACATAAATAAGGCTAGTACCTTGTTTCAGGGTCAACATTATTCCTGGATTAAAATAATTTGCATTGAAATTATGCTTGTGAAGATTGACATGCTCCTCAAGATTGAATGAAGAATTATTTTTGTTCCATTTGATGGAGGTATAAAACTAAGTTTAAACTGTTTGTTTTCCATTCTATTTTTTTTCTATGTTTTATTTATATATAATTGGCATACACTGATATTTTAGTTTCATGTCTACAACATAAGATTTGATATTTTTATATATTTAGAAATAATCATGACAATAGCATATTCAACTCTGTGCACAGCTACAAACTATTTTTGTGTGATGAAAATTTTTAAAAAATATTTTATTAACATTATCAAACATACATATAGTATTATTAATTGTAGTTGCCCTCCTTTACATTATATTTTCATGACTTTTTTTCATAGCTGCAAATTTGTACTTGTTAACTCCTTTGAACCGTTTTGTCCACCACCCACCCTCCCCACATCTGACAACAACCAATCTGTTCTCCATAATTCAATTTTGTTTTTCTTTCTAAATTTTCTGCATATGATATCACACAATATTTTATTATGTTTTTTTTTTAATTTTTACTGGAGTATAGTTAATTTACAATGTTGTTGGTTTCCAGTGTACAGCAAAGAAAATCACTTATACATGTTCATCAGATCTGTTCAGTTGCTTAGTCATGTCCGACTCTTTGTGACCCATGGATGGCAGCAAGCCAGTCCATGGGGTCTTTGTCCATCACCCACTCCCAGAGCTCGCTCAAACTCATGTCCATTGAGTTGGTAATGCAATCCAACCGTCTAATCCTCGGTCATCCCCTTCTCTTCCTGCTTTCTATCTATCCCGGCATCAGGGTCTTTTCTAATGAGTCAGTTCTTTACATCAGGTGGCCAAAATATTGGAGCTTCAACTTCAACATCATTTCTTCCAATGAATATTCAGGACTGATTTCCTTTAGGAAAACTGATTTGATCTCCTTTCAGTCCAAGGGATACTCAAGAGTCTTCTCCAACACCACAGTGCAAATGCATCACTTCTTTGGTGCTCAGCTTTCTTTATGGTCCAACTCTCACATCCCTACATGAATACTGAAAAAAGCATAGCTTTGACTATATGGACATTTATTAACAAAGTAATGTCTCTGCTTTTTTAAATATGATGTCTAGGATGGTCATAGATTTTCTTCCAAGGTGCAAGCGTCTTTTAATTTCATGCTGCAGTCACCATCTTCAGTGATTTTGGAGCCGAAGAAAATAAAGTCTGTCATTGTTTCCATTGTTTCCCCATCTGTTTGCCATGAAGTGATGGGACCTAATGCCACGATCTTCGTTTTTTGAATGTTGACTTTTAAGCCAGCTTTTTCACTCTCTCAATTTCATCAAGAGGCTCTTAGTTCCTCTTCACTTTCTGCCATAAGTGTGTTGTCATCTGCATATCTGAAGTTATTGATATTTCCCCTGGCAATCTTGATTTCAGCCTGTGCTTCATGCAACTGGCATTTT